AACAGGAACATGGCGGCTACATTTCTTGGGAAGAGCAAGGTTCAAGTAAGGGTTGGGCTAACAAGCAAGTTTAGATTAGGCAAACATCCTCTGGGGAAGGCACATCCTGCAAACAAGCAAGTTATCCTGCAAACAAGCAAGTTTAGATTAGGAAGACATCCTGTTCTACTCTTAGAGTTACCTTTGATTTTTCTCTAGCCTCCAGGGAGACTTATGAGGGAGTTTTTCTTTAATATATAGGTTACAACAGTGATGTGACAGTGATGATGGTGATGGTGGTGGTACCGATAAGACAAGAATGAGAGTGATAAGGGGGGATGAAAACACAGTAATCATGATGGCAAGGATGATGTGCTCCTTGAGATGCTGATGAGAATAGTCTTGAGGAGGAGGCTCTTAGCAGTGCCTTCGTGGAGGCAGAAAGAGGAAGACCACCCAGGAAACTAAAGGTGTGAGGCTGAAAGCAATACAGGATTTGGAGTGTGACATAGCTGTGTGTTACTATTTCTTGCTATGTAGCCTGGGGAAATTAATTAATCTCATGTTCACTTCAATTTCTTCATCTTCTGTAGTGTTTCTGAGAACAAATAATGTGCATAAAAGTTTCTGCACCAATGAGTGACTATGTCCATTCTCCGCACTTCATCCTTGCCAAGTATGCACGCATCCAGGTGTGAATGATGAGTGTGCTGTGGGTGGAGATTTCTCCTGCTGCTCCGCTCCTGGCCCTGGTCAGGTGATGTGACCAGTTGCTGAGAGACACTGTATCACTGCCAGAATCCCCAGAGCTGCTTCTATCATCCTGGATGACTTGGTAGTCATGTCTGTTGGCTGCTGGAGGGAGAAGCTGAGTGATTGGAGCTCCTGCTGGGGGAATGTGTGACCTCGCAACCACCTGCTGCCCACTCTTTGAGCCCTGAGCCTCCTTCTGGTGCCACAGTGAGTAAATCTTGTCCTAATACTGATCTGGGAGGAACAGCAACAGGGACTGTATGTACGGTACAGCTGGTTCTTAGTGACCCTAAGCCCCCTTGAAATGCCATCTTAGTCAAGGCACCTGACCTCTTTCAGCCTCCGTTTCCCACCTTCCTTCCCTCGTCCCCTCTCTGCAGAGCAGTGTGGGCTTTGTGAGATACTGAGCCTGGTGCCTTCACAATGAGTACATCATAGTCGCTGTTACCCTGGGACAGGGGAGGGCTGAGAGCTTGTTCTTCTGCAGTTTAAACCCGTTTATAACACACACACACACACACACACACACACACACACACACACACACACACAGAGTTTCAGTTTATATCCAGCTTCCTAGAAGGCTCCAGCATCTTGAGACTGTGAAGGTGCCATGAAAAACAAAATTAGATTTCCAAAAGGGGCATTCGCCCTGTGTGGCTCCTGTGTCAGTCCGTACACTGTCAAGCTGGAACCTACACAGTACATGGCTGTCTGGACTCGGGGGAGGGGGTGAGAGTGGGGATGAGCAGTCATCAGCAGCTGAGCGTGACCCCCTGGGGAGAGTCAGTGTCCCTGCTGCTCCATGTCCTGCAAATGCAACCTATCCACTCTGGGCTGGCCCTGGGCACACCACATGCTCATTCTGGAGGGAGGCCAATCTGGGGCAGGTGAGGAAGGGCAGGCAGGAAAGAGTGGTCTGTTCCCTCCGAGATTGCTTTATGTACTTTTCAGTCATAAACTGGTTCTCAGCAGAAGGCAAGCTGTTTATTGCACTTAGGTCATTCATCCCAGAGTTAAGCCTCTCCACTTCGCATGGAGCTTGTGCTCGTCACTGCTGTTGCAGACTATCAGAAGGATTCAGCTCTTGGCCACAATTTTACTCATGGATTCTCATTAACAGGTTTCCTTTTCTCAGGGAGTCTGCATTCAAAGACAAGGGTCTGCAGGACTGTTCTGCAGAGCTAGACACTGGAGGGCACCAGGACCCCACCCAACATGTCTGTGCGGAGGCCTCTGCCCTCTTGTGGGCCTGGGGCCAGTTAGACTTGCATCGGAGTTTACAGAAGCACTAGGGAATACTTGAGGAGTGTGGGTGGAGCAGCAAAAGCAGGAGGCAGATTCTGTGGCCTGACATAGTGGTTCGCCCAGAGGGAGATGAGCATCCTCAGAACCACTCTTCAGGACTTCACTGTAATGCATCGCCAGATGAGGCTAGGTAGCTCTGGACAGGGCAGAAGCATACATCAGAAGGCAAGGAGTGTGGGGATCCTTGGAAGAGCAGGGCTATTTCCACAACTCTGAAAAGAAGGTAGAGCTCATTCCAGGAGGGGCTTATGGATGGGAAGAAGGCATCTCAGGCAAACTCCCCGCTAATTTTCCCTGTGAGTGAGCTCAGGGTGGCTCCACTTTTTCATGCCTTATCCATCCTACTGTGTTCCAGAGCTCTGAGGGCAGAGCCAGCCTAGGCAGCACATAGGAAAAAGACTTTCTTGTGGTGAGCTCCCGTCACCATGGGGGACCACTCTACCTCCTCAGATAGGTTTATGGTCACCACAGGCCCTTGGAGGGGACACAGAGGTCCAGAGGAGCTAAGTAATTGGTCAAGACCACACACAGGAGGTAGAGCCATATTTCCTCTGAAGACCAGGGAGGACGATGCCACCATGCATTGAGACAAAGGAGGTGGGCAGGAAGTGGTCCAGAAGCCCATTGCCAATGGACCAGGTTGGTGCTGAATTTCATATCCTGACAAGATCCAGGCAGTATCCATTCATGTGTCAAGGCCTAGGGTTTCAAATCCCTGTCTCCTTCTGACCCTAAGCATTTTCTGCTCATTCTCGGAAAGCTTACCCTGAAATCACTACCCCATAGAGTGGTCAGTCTATCAGGGCTGAAGGTGGCTGATGGGCCGAAGTATTCTTTGTGGGCACAGCCAGTTTCAAAGTGATGGCAAGGAGGTCTGTTAGCAGGTGAACCTGAGGCCCAGAGGGACTAAATGTGGAGAGGGACAATATTTGTTAGGCATGTACCTCGGGCTCTACAGTGCCACTAAGTTTGTTACGTGCACATTAAAGTTGATCCAAACAAAATAGAGAATAGAATAGGGATTCTCAGAGCCTTAGAAGTGGGGAGAATGAGAGAGGATGGTTAATAAATAGAGGAATACTGTGACAGGAGGGATAGCTTCCAGTGTTCTGTAGTACCATCAGGTAAATATGGTTGACAGCATTTAATTGAATATTTCAAATTAGCTAACTGAAAAGATTTCTAATGCTCCCAACACAAAGAAATGGTAAATGTATGAGGTGATCCATATGCCAAGTATTCTGCTCTGATGATTACTCAGCATCCATGAAATGTCACAGTTTACCCTGTAAATCTGTTCAACTACTAATGTCAATTTTTAAAACTCGATTAATAAAAAATCCCTGAATTTTTGCCATGTCTCCATTGCTGTCAGTTTGGACAGTATCATCTTTCCCAGATCAGGAAACTAACACAGAGAAATGAACAAGCCTTTCCAAGGCCCCAAGCCAGCACAGTGCGGGGTGTGGAGGGCTATTGTAAACCCAAATATCGAGTTCAGGCACCCAAGTATTGTAATCCTCTTTCTAGTTTTCCTCACAATCCAAAAAGTTATATTTGTAATCCCATTGAGACGTTATTGGAATCCTAACAAGTTAATTCCAATCTACCACCACCAATGCAACCCAAGGTGAGAGTAAACACACTAAGATGTGTTTCAAGTTAAGGGAAGCCAAGGGGTCCCAAATCCAATCCCAAAGAGGATATGCAGACAAAGGCCTGGACCCTAGGCCTCTCCCAAAATTTATTATCTTGTGAAGAAGGGGGGTGGCTAAGGGATGAGTGACAGTGAGGATGGTGGGAATAATAGGAGTAGTTGAGCTGGCTGGCCAGGTGCAAGAATGGCTTCTCTGTAAATTGCAGAGATAAAGATATGCAGATGAGTCAATTTACATAATCCAATTAAGGTAACAGTGGACTTGTTTTGGGAGACTGTTGCTTTGGTTTCTAATATGCAAACTCTTGTGTCCTGGGGAATCATAGCCTCTTACCTTGAGGCTCCCACCCAGCTGACATTCCCCTAGCTATTGGCTCTAACTTCCCCTGTGCTCATATCCTGTACGTATTCTGTATTGTATGGAGAACATTATGTGAGGAAACAGGACTGACTGTTGGCTTTAGAGATTACATATTACACCTTGGCTAGCCTTATTTGCAATGCTTAATGCCAACTGAGAGAGGGGAAATATCCTAGCCAGCTATTTACATATCAGTATAAGGAAATGAGTCTCCAAATAATCAAAGTCACAGTAATTGTTTTGCATTCAGAGGGAGTCACTGGAGTTGTCTCCCACAGAGGGTGAGTGCTCCATTGAGCCAAAACCCAAGGTGGTATCAGCCACCTGGGTGGGGGTGGGGGCCTCACCAGAGTACATCACCCCACAATCAACTTGTCCCATGTGCCTAGGAATCTGTTGTGCACTTACCTCTTCCCTTGCATTCCTCTCCACCAGGTCCTATGCATCCCCCTGCCATGCCTCCTCTTCCTCAGGGGCAGAGTGATTCCCACCACACAGGAAACCCATACAAGGCAGCTGATGGTTTGTGGCTGCAGAGAGCTCCCACATGGAGCCCTGAGTGGGACACACATGTGAATATACACATGCAGGCATGTGAGCATCTGCGCACACACACACACACACACAGAGTAGGGGTGGCCAGGTTTGGGCCTGTGAGGAGGAATGAATGTGCCCAGGCTCTTTCAGAACAGCCTCATTTTCTGAGACCCCAGCAGGCCTGCAGCCTGGCGGGTCCATGGTCCAGCAAACCTTGCTCACTGGTGGCTGCTGCTTCCATCTGGCCGGCAGCCTGGAACCCAGACTAATGGAACGAGCCTTCATTGTGCACTGCCTGCAAGCCAGTCTCACCACTGTGGGTAGCTCAGGGCTCAGTGTCCCTGAGGAGTAATGCGGCTCGTATGTGCACAGCCACAGGTGCAGAGAAGTATGAACACAGCAGCCATGTCGGAACTCAATTTCACACTGTTATTTTTATTTTTGTTGAAGCAGTCCTTCCTAAGGCCCAGCCTGGCATCTCTGCAGAAAAGGAGCACCACCAGGACCCCTGAGGGACAAGTCAGCACACCAGACAGGCACAAAACCGACCACCTGCAGCCTGGCACCCCTGCTGGAATCATGGGGAGCAAGCTGGTAACGTGTTCCCAGTGTACCACAGCCTGGCTGACTCCGTTCCAGTCTCTCAACAAGACATCTTTCCTGTCCCAGGAAACCAGCAACACATCCCAGGGCCTCAGGGACACGAGGGCACCCATCTCGATGCTCCGCTGGCTCTTGCTTCCCTCAAGCCTCCTGGCTGCAGCCACGCTGGCCCTGAGTCCCCTGCTGCTAGTGACCATCCTGCGGAGCCAGCAGCTGCGGCATCAGCCCCACTACCTGCTGCTAGCCAATATCCTGCTTTCAGATCTCGCCTACATTGTCTTCCACACACTCATCTCCTCCAGCAAGCTGGGTGGCTGGGAGCTGGGCCGCATCCTCTGCGGCATTCTCAGGGATGGCGTCTTCGTCGTCTATCTCAGCACCATCCTGTCCTTCACAGCCACTGTGCTGCATGCCTACCTGGCGGTCACTCATCCTCTGCAGTACCTCTCCTTTTTGTCTGGAAGGGTCACAAGGAAGACAGTGGCCCTTATCTGGCTGGTGGCCTGTTTCTTCCCCACATTTCTCCTTTGGTTTGCCAAGCGGCAGGATGCCAATCTGGAGGTACAAGGGTCCATGTGCACCCTGCCTCTGAACCTGGACATCAAGCAGAATCATGGCTCCCTGGTCACAGTCACCCACACCTGCACCCTGTGTGTCCTCTTTCTTTGTGCAGCTGTCATTACCTACTGCTTCTGGAGGATTTATGTAGAGGCCAGGCCTTCAGGCGTCTGCACTCAAGGCTACTCCCGAGCCAGGGGCACCCTGTTCATCCACATGGTGCTGATCACACTCTATGTGGGTGCAGGTGTGGTGTTCGCCCTGGACGTCATACTGACCAAGTACCACCACCTCAGTGCCAGCACTCACACATGGCTCCTGGCAGCCAACAGTGAGATATTCATGATGCTGCCCCGTGCCATGCTCCCATACCTGTATATGCTCCGATACAGTCAACTGCTAGGGGTGATCCGGAGGCACTTCTCATCCAGGAGGCAGGGGAACATCTGCACCATTTCCCAGGGCTACCAAGCCTACAGTTTGGCAGGATGATGTCAAAAATTATATGTCAAAGGCACATTCCACTCTTTATGGGGAGCTCAAGGGATGATTTTTAACATGTCAGTAGTTGTTAGTCAGAGAAAGCTATCTTGTAATAAAAACTCAGCTTTAGAATAAAAGCAAGTAAAGGTTATCCAACCAGGTACGTTGGATAGTGAAGATATAAATAAAGATATAGATATCATCCCTTATAGAGGGCAGCAGCAAGATCAGTTCTAAGAGGGCAAGGCCTTGACTGGTGACCCTGCGTGGCTTCTTCACGAGCTTCACTGCTAACAAACACAGAAGCCAGAACATTCTGTGAGCTAAACCTGGAGAGGTCTCAGGTAGATCTGTAGATTCCTGAGATTTAGGCCTCTGCTCAGACAGCTGCTCAGGGTAAGGGAGTGCCAAGAGGACCTGCGCAGGACTTGTTTAAGTGGGAAGTGTCACAGAGACACCACTATAGAACTGAAATTGCAAAGTATTATCCTCAGCACAAGCAAAGATACAAGACATTGAAAGGGTTTTTGCCGAGGCAGGATACTGTAGCCTGTAAAGCCAAAGAGCTCCTCTCTCCCCCTCCCTTAGGAATCTGCTCCTGGCGCCAAAGACCAATGGGCTACCTGTGCATCCCTAATGGCCCCCTTAGGTTCCACCCAAGCCAAGGCTACTTATGTGCCTCACTCCACGTGTTCCACGGAAAGATTGCAGGCTCCGGGTGGAAATGTCATGCCCCAGGGTGTTGGGGGTATCTCTCCCCACATTCCCAGAATAAAGGTTATTTATATTTCATACTTCTTATCTTTTCAGCTGCCCGCCCCCCCCAGTTCTATCAGACATCAAGCCTGATAGAGAGCAGCGGCAAGGGAGCTTGACTGCATAAGTGGTTCTGTGCAGAGGAAGGAAGATCTTTGAGAATTCTTAAATAAGAACTACCTTGCAAGCAAGGTCAGGGAAGGTCTTAGTGTACTTCAGGGATCAAAAAACTGTTCTCTGTGGTTGGCATGTGTCTCCCAGAGGATCTGAGCTTCAACTCAGAACCCAGAGAATTTGCACCATAAAAGAACCTTCAAACAATAGCACATAGTCAAAACTCACAAAACCATTCAAGAAAATAATTTTCTGTGAATAACAGCAAGAAGAAGCACTAAGACTATAGCATTGCACCATATCTCCTTGAATTTTCAGAACCTAAGCCAGGGTGGTGGCCCAGCTGTCACCCCAGCACTCTGGCTGGCTGAAATAGGAGGACTGCAACTTCAAGCCTAGCCTGGGCAACTTAGTGAGACTAGGTTTCAAAATAAAGAATAAAAAGGGCTGAATGTAGCTCAGTGCTAAAGGTGAAGGCTCAATCAACACACCTCCACCAATGCTCATATGTTATAAGACATGAAAATTACACTAAAATATCAGGAAAAGCAAAACAGCAACGTGTATTTTAAATATGCAGATCTGAGAAATAAATAGAACTGATTTTAAATAACTAATCAGATTTGGAAAAGAATTAAATAGGACTTCTAGGAATAAAATGCATAATAATTAGAATTGGAAAATGTGAATTGCACTTAATATACATTCGACAGCATATGAGAAACAAGAGGGAGAACTTACAAAGTGGGAAACGAGTCCAGATAAATTATGACAATGCAGCCCAGAGATGAGCAATACAAAAGAGGGATTCAGAGACACTGAAGTAAAAGCGGGAAAGGCTTAACACGACTTCTCATTTGAGAATTCAACAGAGAAAATGCAGAAGGACAACTATCTGGAAGAGATTACAGTTGATAATTTTTTCAGAATTGGCAAAACGTATCAGATCTACAAATCCAACTAGTTACAAGTAAGATAACAAAGAATTCACCTGAGAGGCCAGGCACAAGCAGCATATATTTAAAGTAGGCAGAGACAAAGACAAGGAGACATCACCTAACAGGTAGCTGAATTCCCCAAGATCTGTGACAACCAAAAGCAGTGGTAATAATGGTGTCAATGTGCTGAGAGAAAAATGGCCATCAACCTAGAATTCTATGTATAAGAAATTATCTTTTCAGAAGGTAGGCTACAATGTAACATAAAAATGAAATAAAATGTCCTAAAAATACACATCTTTTTTATTTCAAAAAGAAAACAATAAAAACAATGATACAGAATTTCAAAATAATAGTTTAGTATATTGTATAATTTTATCTTCAAAATAGTTGCTCAGATTATAAAATACAGGTAGGCAAAAATGATCAAACAATATAAGCACAAACCATTCTTTCTGTTGAACCAATAGAGATCAGTAGTGTAATTACCAAATCTATCATATATATAATATATATTTTCTTCTTCCTTCTCGCTGCTCTTCTTTTCCTATCCCAGTTGTTCTTTCCCTTTGAATACTTTCTTCCCTTTTCACTTTCACTATATGCACTGTACATTTTGAAACATTTTATTCTTGTAGTTTTTTACACTAGGGAGATAATAGGACGTTCACACACGTGGGTCTGGTTTACTTCACTTACAATTATGGACTCTAGTTGCATCCACTTAGCTATAGAAGTCTTGAAATTATCCACTTTTTATAACTAAGTAGTACTCCATTGTATAATATATCACATCTTTGTTTTATCCATTCCACAGTGGATGGTCATTCGGAGAGTTTCTAAGACTTAGATATTACAAATTGTGCTATTATAAACATAGATGCACATATGTCACTGTGGTATGATGTTTTTAATTATTCTCGGCAAATACCCCGAAGCGGAGTAGCTGGATAGAATGGAAACTCCACTCCTAGTTTTCTTGGATTTTACCAGTGTGCACTCCCACAGACGGTGGAGAAGGGTTCCCTTTTCCCCTACAGTCCCTCCAACATTTGTTGTTGGCTGATTTCTTCATCTTGGTCATTCTTTCTAGAGTAAGATGGAATCACAGTGTTGTTTTAATTTGCATCTCTCAAATGACCAGTGATGTTGAACATTTTTTCATGTATTTATTTGCCATTCATATTGAATGTTCATTTTGGACTGGGTCTTTGAATTTGGGAGCCTGATTTTTATCAGTTCTTTGTATGTTCTCAATAGAAGTCCTTTGCCTGAGGAACAATTGACTAAGGTTGTTCCCTAACTTGTAGGTTTTCTTTTCACTCTGTTGGATTATTGTTCTGATGTGCAAAATTTTTTTAATAAGATTAGATCCCAGTTGTTGATTCTGGGAAGTGTTTCCCACACACTTTGGTTTTTATTCATTAACTCTCTGCCTACCCCTATGTCTTCAAGATTTTTGGCTACTTTGTCTTCCAGTAGAGTTAGTGTTTCTGTTTTGATATTTAGATCTTTGATCCATTTGACTTTAGTTTACTGCATGGTGGTAGACATAGGTCTAGTTTTAGTCTTCAGCATGTTGAAAGCTGATTTTACTAGCAATGTTTATCTTTTTTCCAGTGAAGATATTTGACCAGTTTGTCAAAGATAAGGTGACTGAGTGTCTTTATAGTTGTGTGTGTATCTTCTATTGTGCTCCGTTGATCTCCAGGTTCTTTTTATTTTCGGCCAATACTGTGCTGATTTTATCACTGTATCTTTGTAGTATAATTTCAAGCTGGGGATGTGTTGCCTCCTGCCTTGCCTTTGTTGCCCAGGATTGCCTTTGCTATTCTAGATCTTTTCTGTTTGTGAGCAATTTTAGTAACTTTCAGAAAACTTTAAAAGATATATGTCGAGTAGAAGAAAATAATCTGAGATAGAAAATTTGAAATATGTGAGGAAATAGAAAAACCTGGAAAATGATTAAACCTGAACAACCATTATCTGCTTGGTAAGTGCTATACAAAAGCAATACAAATGTTGAACTTAGCAGTTTAGGGGAGAAAATGTACTGTGCAACCACGACACGCGTGGGAAGTGTAGTCACAGCATTATGAGGTCTGGGAGCCCCGCGAGAGAGGGGGTGCTGACCTAAGATTTTGTTAAGCACGCCTGTTACAACAACTGACGTAACCATGAACAAGCTAAACAAATAGAAGATAACTTTCTGAATAGTCTCTAAGGATTAAATGAAATGAGTAAGAGAAAACAAGTCATCCAAAAGAAGGAAAGTAAAAATGTGCAGAGAATCCAAGACAAATAAAAAGCAAGAAATCATATAATCCAAACAACAAATTTGAATGAACTAAAACAATACATTTAAAAGGACTAAAATTTGATAATGAAAAGACAAATGTCTGTCAGTTTTCTTTTGAATCAGATATCAGAGGTTACTCTTCAAATGACAGAATGTTTGGAAGTAAAAATATAGACTGGAAGTAGATAAAAGGTATATAAAGCAAATCTCACTAAATGAAGGCTAATAGAAATGACAAAATAAACTTTAAAGGAAAATATTTCCAGAGTAGGTGGGGCTGTGGTGAATAAGGAACACCTCTCCACTGTTGGAGAGTGTAGAGTGATATTTCTACTGTGGAGATTCCCCAAAAAGCTAGGATTTGAGGTTCCATTCCATCCAGAAAATACCCCATTTGGGTATTTTCCCAGAAGAACTGAACACGTCATGCCACAGTGATATATGTGCACCCATGTTTATAGCTGTACAAATTGTAATAGCTAAATCTTGGAAACAACCCAAATGCCCATTAGCTGTGGAATGGATAAAAAAAATCTGTATTTTTATACAGTGAGATATTACTCAGCCATAAAGAAGGATAATCCTGAGGCTTTTATAGGTAAATAGATGCAATTTGAGACCACACTCATAGGTGATGTAAATCAGACTTGCACGTGTAAATATCAAATTGTCTCTCTAGTGTGAAAAATTTGAAAGAGTAAATAAGATCCAAAATGTAGCATAGATATTGTGAAAATGAAAAGGAAAGAAACTGCTTGAAAGGAAAGAACAACTGGGATAGCGGAAAGGAGAAAAGGAACAAGAGAAAAGATTATAAATATATGTATATATAATATATATGTGTATATAATATATAATATATAATATATATGCAAGATAAGTAACTATACTTCTAATCTCTGTTCATTCATCAGAAAGAACGGTTTGTGATTTCCCTGATTGTTTGACCATTTTTTATGCCCAAATCTTGTAATCTGAATAACTATTTCCATATAACAATATACAATATATTAACTAATGTTAATTTCCTATTATTTTGTTTTGAAATTCAGTATCATGTTTTTAATTCTTTTTGCTGTTGTTTTGCTTTTAAAATTGAAAAAAAATTGCCAGAATAAAGATAGTTGCTATAAATTAATTACATGAGCCAATTTATCAAAAGATAAAAAGTTAACACATACAGTACAAAAGGCTGACATTGTATAATGCAAAGCAACATAAATTGTGAGAAAAATTAAAACAGAGAAGAATTTTAAACCTAATGATGAACAGAAAATAAGGATATAATATTTTAATGAACACCGCTAGCAACCTTGACTAGTGGACACATGTAAAATATGACTCTGGACAGCCTGCCTGAAATTTTAGGAAAATTGACAACACACTGTGCCACAAAGCAAGTCTAAGTCACATTATCTGAGTACATTTTAATTAAGCTGGGAGTAAATAAGAAAGTGCTAATTAAATAAAATACGGTTGGAAATGTAAAAATCACTCTCTTACGCAATGAGTAGAAAAAAGACTAATCATGGAAATAAAATATTCAGAATTGAATAATAAAAAGTTATATATCAAAATGTATAATTTGTTGCAGGCAGAATTTTTAGGAATGTTCATGTATTTTCTAACCCAAAAGAAAATAATTTTGGGGGCTGGGGATTTAGCT